ATCTCTTATGTTCTTATGTTCCTGCAGCAGCCATTTTTGACAGACATTCTGTGGCTGTGTGCACAGGCTCAAAAAGTTTGGGGACCATTGGCTTAGAGCTATTTTAAGTGCACAATGAATAGCAACAATAGACTGCCTGAGTTGGCTGTGCTTTTGGTTCAGCTCTTATATACCCATGTCATCACAGAGCTGGTGAAGTTACACTGAGCAGTGGTAGGATGCAGGTAGAGTAAGCCACAGATTGTATCCTTGGGCAAAAATGTCCAGAATCAGTTCACCAGGTGAGTAGCTCATCCTTATGTAACACTGCAACACATCTTCACCATGTCAATTGGCTAGTGTGATTTGGCACTTGCGGTACGGCTTCAGAGTAGAGTTTTCTACTATAGAGCTGCTTTGTACTATCTGGTATGTTTATTCTCTTTCTCCCTGGTCCTTTTCCACAGCATTCCTTGCATTTCAGAAGCTGAAGCCCGGGAAGCTTTTCTTGAGTACGCTTCAAGTCACTGTTGTTACAGCAGCAGCCCTGCCAAAGAGATGGTGGTCAAAGATCTACAGGCATTCAACACATATCGAGTAAGTAGTTTATTCTCTTCTCACTCCCTAATGTACTATGCACTGACTAGCAACATTTATTGGTAATGAACAAATTGTCTCTTGGTGCTGGCTTTTTAGTCCATTGTGGTCTGATGTGTTACCACAGAGGCTAAAAAGGGAGTTATAAAATGGGAACATCCTGGTAAAAGAGCTACGGCTTGGACTCACCAGTCATTTCCACTGATGGAAGGGACTTCCTTGCCTATCCTTCCCATGCACACACAAAACCTTTATTGGCATGAAAGCACAAAACATGATGGAAATACAGGAAAATACTAAGATGCATCAGTCACTTACTGTCTCTTCTTCCCACTGTGGACTAAAATATTTTCCCATGTTATTTCTGGGGATGTGGGACCCCCAGAACAGCATGAGGAGGGCAGTTAGAGGTCTACAGTGACATGGGGGCATCACTGACAATTGTTTCCCCTCTGTGGAAATTCTTCAGTGGTCAAAGCTTAGGTTTGTCACAAACCTTAAGTGAGCTTTTGCCTCTCACTACAGGCCTCCTGCTGATTTACAGTAGAAGTCATACTTGTTGAACACATGGGCTTGTGGGAAAGATCCCTGAAATAATATCAGCCACTTTCAACATCATAGAACCCCTGTCAAACAAGGTTCTCAGACGGGTGTAATGGCTAACAAATGGTTATGTGTTATACTGGTCTGAACCTTGATTGGCAGGGAGTTCAAATGGAAATCTACAGTTGAGAGTGGCAGTTCAGTTAAGAAGATGATGTCCAATATTTGTGCTATTATACAAAATATTTGAATTGCTGAATAATAAATTCACAGTCTTGGATGCTGTGATCTACCAGCACAAATCTTCCTGTTTTTCCAATCTGCTTTATGCTGATGGATCACAGGATCCAACATTATGAATTTATTTATCAGGAATTCAGATATTTTGTATAATAGCACAAATATTGGACATCAAATATTTGTCTATTGCTACAATTGTCTTTATTGGGATTTTGAATTATTACATGTGATGTTCTTTTTATATTCTTTGATGTTAAGTTTGTGGTCATTGTGTCCTATGGCATGATCAAATATTGTTTCATTTCATAAGAAGTTAGATAACGCAGTAGAGATTGTATTTCTTGCCAGTGCTTTCATAGACCCTCTGAATTTAGTGCTGTTTTCTGGTTAATCTCCTAGTATCGCTTGGAGACCTTCACTGAATCTAGGTCTTTGGAATGGAGGACTAAACCATTTACAGGTAAAAACTACTTAGGGTACATAAGAATGTGTACTTCTTAATGTAAATTGCTGAGAATACAATTGTATCCCAGAGCAGTGATCTCCAGTTATTCTATTCTCCATTACTAACGTTGGCCAGAAATGGACAAAGCATGGTGGAGCTCTGGCTGAATGTTTTGCATGTATTGATCATTAAGCAACGACTGCTAGTATAATTTCAAGTAGAGTTTTTATGGAACCCATAATCTGTTTTCATCACTACCCATTATATAGTCCATGATTTATTTAGTCTGAAGATAAGGATTTGTTGGTTGCTCTGACAAAAACTGCAGTTAATTAAGTTCTTAAGCTTTTTGTTTTGTTTTGGGATATGAAATAAATGATATTTCTGTTCTTAGCAGCTGTCAGTGAAAATTAGGTGTACTGCTAAATGTATGCAGAACACAGAATAGCTTTGGGCTTAGATTTAACAACGAACTGGTCTGTAATCATCTAGGAGGTTTCATCACATGTATTTCTGCAACAGCTTAGTGAGGAGCAAGGGAAGGGACTTTGGAATTGAAGTTGGTCTTGGCCAACATGACAGGCATCCTGATGCCATGGCTGAGCAGGTCTGCCCTTCTGCCTGCTTCTTTTTGTTCATTTTATTCAGTGCAAACTGTGCTTACATGATGAAAAAGGCTATTATCGAAATGGTCTTTCTCCATTTGGGAGAGGTTGTTTTCTGTAATGACGTATGTGTATGTGAAATTTCTCTGAGTTCTGTATAATTCAGTGTGATTGATTAAAAAGGGCGGGGGAAAGGAAAGAACAGTAAACAGTCAGAACTTCTGACAGTGGCATGAATGTGGCAAACCATTAATTGGACTGAGCCAGAGCCCACTGAACAGCTGTCTGCTGGCCTCTGACTGCCCAGCTACCTGGTGTAATTAGGCTGTGAAATATCACACTGGGCATCATAACTGGCTAAACTATATGTACAGTTGGCTCTGAAGAAGTCAGAAAGCTTTTATTTTTAAGGGCAGATTAACAGATCACATTCTTAAGAAGTGCACCTTAAATGTATGGCCAAGCACATGGGGTTTTGCAGACTTATGCGTTGTCCAGGTGGCAATGGTCAGCTGCGAAACTTGGTTTGGAAATATTTTGTGAAATGGCACTACACCTTGTGTTTTGAAGCTGCCTTCAGGCAAGAGGAAAGGCAGGGGATTAACATTAAAATAAATAAGGCAGTTTTTAGGATTAAGAGGGCAATCCTAAACAGAGTTGCGCCCTTCCCAATCCACTGGCTTCAGCAAGTGAGTTGCAGGTTGGTCCAGGTGAGAGAATGGGTTGGGCCTATATTATCTGTCCGTCTGCCAAAAGCCTAGCCTTTGACCTTATGAAGGAAGAAAATTACAAAACCAGGGGCACCTTCTCTGACCCTGCTGGGCCCAGTGATATGTAGACATTCCACACCCATGTATCAAGTTCTGCTGGCAGCTAAAAAAGCCTTGAAAGAGTGATGTAAATTGCCAGGCAAATAGGGTTTCAGTCTAGAACAGATTTTGGTGCAGGCTGGAAGCTTCCTTGTGCCCTCTACCTCATGATTTGGTATCTTTGCCTTTATTTGAAACTAATCTGACAGCCACTTTTGTAACCATTGTCAGTTTAAAAAAGAATATGTATTTTTGTTCTACTGGCACACTAGGTAGGAAAAATCCCTTGAAGTGTGATTACATTTAGAATTGAGTGTATCTGTGTGTGTATATATATGTGCGTGTGTATGTCAGTTTTTGTTATGCAAAGGAATATTTGTATAACAACTCTCTACCACGGTAGTTACAAAGCAGTTACATCAATGTCTCCTTGCAATTCATAGAACGGGCCATGAATGTCAAACATGGTCGGTGGTGATACACATAGTACGTGAAATGGAGGCTAACAAACGGAGGTCAGGGAGGAAATTCCTCTGCATAGAGGAGAATGCTGGGAGGGACCTTGTATTTATGAGGTTGGCTCCCAGTCATGGTTTGTAAAGGAGCACCACTTCCCATATTGTCCAGCATGCTAGTTAAGATCTGACTCACAAGCCCTGCTCTCTGTGCATCCACCTTCAGAAAAGAGGCAGGTGGTGACAACCGGAGACCGAGGTGTTCTCCCCCCCCCAGTAGTGCCACCTCACCTCACCCTTCCCCTTGAGGCTCTCCTGGTACCCCTGTTGCTTTCTTGTAGGAACCAGGCCAAAATGTTTCTGTGCACCCAGTATATTAAGTAAGGGTGAACACTATTTCAGTCTGGGTGAACACTATTTCAGTTCAGTATTTTGTGAACACTATTTCAGTCTGGAAATTTATTTTAAATTGTTCCTAGCTTTTTATGGTGGGCTGGTTTTTTAATGCCTTTCAATTAATACCGTTAAATACTTTTGTTTTTATTATTTTTATTTTGTAAGCTGCCTCAGGCAGTTTCCTGGAGAGGCAGCATTAAAATGTTCTAAATAAATAAAGAATTCATTCCATCTGCATTGGTCCAGAGAGTTTTCTTTAATGTCTGTTCTCATTTGATGAAGACTTCTAATCTTGGACCGTCTGAGATAATACCATGTCATAAGTGCAGGTATCTGAAAACACCACAACACATTTTTTTTCTGCTACAGGTAAAATTGACGTGCCTGTTGTCGTAGCTGATTTGCCTTGGAATGTTCCAGTCGCTGTTCCTAAGATGTTTGAGAACAATACCGAAGAAGTTATGATGCCTCACACAACTTCAATAAAGGTACAGAGGAAATGTGTGCATAAAGGCAAAAGTGGACATGATACTGGGAGATATTTGATGGATTTTAACAGGCTAATTTAAAGAAAAATGTTATTGTGAGGAGAAGACAGTTCTGGGAGAAAAAGACAGGTACCTTATTTGCCTGTCTTTTTGTCCTGTCTGGTGCTGTTTAATGGCATGGAGAGTCAGCTTTGATAGGTGAAACTGTGCAGAAGAGAAGCTAAACACCTTCTACCCCTGTGTCCCAATCCCAGTCTGAATCAGGTTGCTGCACAGCAGTGATCATCTTTGTAACACTGCTGGGAAGATACGGGCACGTGTCCCTTAGTGCTGCAATTGGTTTAGCTCTAACTAGTTTGACATTTGCGAGTGACTGTTAGTGACAGTGATTTTAAATACAAATTGGGATATATAAAGAGGGGCAAGACTCAGAAAAGGCCCGGCAGTCCTTTGCCTATATAATACAAAATAACTTTGTAGAGTTTGTTTTTCCTTAACAGTCAGTCATTTTCTGTTGTTCAAAATGCCACTGAAATCTGTGAGTCCTAAAGACTCCTTAAAAATCTGAGCTGAGCGAAAATTACATGCTTGAGATATTCAAGCATACCTATCAAGAATTTTTCTAATACTACAAATGCTTTTTTAAAGAAAATACTTATGTCACTTTTTGGAAACTTCCCAGAGCACTTTACAAAAAAAAAAGGGAAAAAAAGAAACAAAACATTAAAAGATACTAAATCCCAGCACTATAAATCAAGCCCAGCATAAAAACGTGTTTCCATACTTAATCATCTGCACACACATAGTGTGTATTCTGTTTATATGACAGAGGTGGCCAAACTTGCTTAATAGAAGCACCTCATAGAACAAATGTCAGATAGTTGAAAGCCACATAGCATGAACAGATATTATACACATATTTTAATTGGAAAATATGCAAATTTGCTTTTATTAACATTAAATGAAACTGCCAAAAATAAAAACAAAAGGGGTAAAAACATTGCTAATTATATTTATTTGTCTAAGTAAATATCTGGTCAAAACATGGAAAAAACATGTAATCCAATTAAATTAAAGATATTTACTGGCTATTAACTGCTATTTAACACTGGTAGCTTGTTTTTCCATAATTCTGATTTAGGTGGATAATCAGATGGAAAGGTTTTGTGATTTGTTTCATAGTGGCCTTTCAGGTTACTGGCTTTGTAATGACTGAGTGACACATTACAGATATATCCTATTTTTTTCCTTGTGGTTTGGGGAACTTCCAATTAAGATGTTGCATACTTAGGAGGCAGCTGTTGATTAAACGTTAACGATGACTGCTCTGTTATAACACTTTTTTCTGTTCTGATTTCAAGGAATGCTCAGTGTGCATGGCTTCAGGAAAAATAACCTGCAAACAATGTAGTGGCCGCACTAAGGTAAGCAGTCTTCTCCCCCCACCTTAGATTTAGATCTATAATGTGTAGGGATGGGCACAAACCTGCTCAAGAGCCAAAATTTGGGCCAAACATGGGCTGGTTCAGTACTCAGGAACCAATATTCAGGGAAGATGCATTCCCTGAACATTTACCAGACTTTGGTCGGTTTGATTCAGCACTTTGGGGCACTACACCCCTGTATTTAACCCTCCAGTTTTGCTCCCCCCTCTGAAGTGGTGGGAAGCAAAACAGAAGCCATTTCACCGTTACGTTTTGCTCCCTGCCACTTCCAAGGGGGGGGGGAGCAAAACCAAAGGATTAAATGAAACACCTTCCAAGGTGATCCCTGCCCCCTTTCTCCTAGTCACAGTGAGCCATGGCCGGGAGTAAGGTGGAAGGGAGTCCCTTGTAGGGTGATCCCTGCCCCCTTTCTCCCATTCATGGTGAGCCATGGCTGGGGAAAAGGTGGAAGGGACCCCCTTCCAGTGCAATCCCCCCCTTTCCTGGCCACAGCGAGCCGTGGCTGGGAGAAAGGGGGGCCCAAACTTGCCAGACTGGTTCAGTTCATGTGGGGTTTGCTCAGTTCAGGGTTTGGCTTGTGGCCCGGCATGAATGCTAAATTGCCTTTTTAAGGTTCATGCCCATCCCTAATAATGTAAGCAGTCCTCTATAGTGTTGAATTTATTCTCAATGTAGTTATTTAAATAAAGAAATAAAAGGAAGATCTTGGGGGAGGATGGGAAGAAAGGTTACTCATGGTATTTTTTCCCCTTGCACTGAAGCCCATTCCAGCAATTCTTGTGATCTAAAGAAGCACACCAGAAAGTGAAATAAACGTAATTCTTGACCTCAATGGTACCTCATTTCTGAGGTGTATATTCTGTTTGTACATATGATGTGCTGGCTATACCCTTATATATTTGATCTCAGAGGTTAATGGGTCTTGATGTAGGCTATCCCGCTCTTCCCATTTAGTGGCCTTACAACATCAATGAATGTTTTCATTGTAATGCTTATGACAATCCAAACACATCTCTGATCAGTGATGAGGTCTGTTCTTCTTGGTCCTGTCTGCTATGCAAGAGGAGCCATTTGTTTCAGTGCCTGGGGATTTGGAACCTCTTCCAACTCACAAAAGGCAGCGAAACACACACCCTGCTCCCAGTAGCCAGTAGGAGGAAGAGACAGGAGCAATAGCCTGAACACACTATGTCAACCTATGTCCAGCCTCTCCCATTCCCATCTTTCTCCTTCCCTACTTATCAGTGGGGAGAGAAGGTCCTGTTCTGAGCACTACCAATGCTCAAGTTACTTTTCTCTCCCCTGGCAGGGACAAGCATATGCCCACATATGCCATTCACCCTGGAAGGAATAGCCCTACATTTTGGCACAAAATCTTATTTTCTATTATCCCTCTTTCCC